GGGGCAATTGGGCCAGCAGGGGATGATCAGGTCAGTAGGGGAGGGCAGTTGAAGGCGATCAACTGGCAGGAAAGCAGTTAGGGGGTGATCAGGTTGGCAGGTAGGCAAGCAGTTAGGAGCCTGCAGTCCTGGATTGTGAGAGGGATGATTGCCGGTTTAGGCCCGATTCATGTGGGCCTAAACCGGCAGTCAGACATCCCCCAAGGGATTGTCTTGGAGAGGGTGCAGACCCAGCTGAGATACACCCTTCCTGTGCACAAATTTAGTGCACTGGGCCTCTATAAATTTAATAATCATTATATATATAACACGAAAAGGGAGGATGGAAGGCATAGATAATCTTCACAAAGGATAAAGTACTATAGAATGTTAAAAAAAGACATCTTTATCTGGTAGTGCTATTTTCTCTGAGGAAGCAAAGTGAAAGCCTTGATATCAAAGACCAAGTTTAGATAAAACATTGCAGTGGAATCCGTGCTCATTTTATCATTTCAGACAATAGGTAGCTTTTTATGAAAAATACATGGTTTGACTGTTGCAAACCAGGCTATGTAGGGCCTAATGTTCATACAATTTTGAGGGTCTTTCTTCAAAAAAAGTTAGTATTTATTTAGAATGCAAAAATAAATGATAACTAGTTATTAGTTTTTACATATTGATAAGTACCAAAGTTTTAAAAATATAGAAAAATGATATAATATATGCATTATTATCTGCCAGACACACATCCATGAATCTTCTTTTGTTTGCCTTTCTTTCCCATATCTTATTCTTTCATTCTCTTTCTTCCTTCCATTCTCCTTCCTTCCTTTTTTCCTTCCTTCCTTCTTTTTTTTAAATTTTTTTGCTACACACAATTTATTTTATAAAGCCCTTACTGTAGACAAACTGGAAAGATAATTCAGTTTTTGTGCTTAAGAGGGATGATAAAGGTTCTATCACAATATGATGCCAGTGCCACCATCTGAGTGTAGTAAAGGACATATACAGAAGAAACTGTAAACCTTTTCAAATTAGCCCACTACACTCAACTAAATATATTCCCAGCTTAGCTTCCCTTGGCTGGGTCCCAAAATCCTTGTGGCAAATTCTACTAGAACAAATAACCATGTGCATGTGTTTCCTGGGCCTTTCCGGGATCTTAGATGGAACCTATACAAACGAGAGGCCCTGAAGTACAAACTTCTGATTCCTAGAGGGAAACCAAGTAAACCTTGAGACAGACTAAAAATCCAAATATTCTGAGTCAAGTTTAGATGTTTGAGAGTTTCCCACAGCAAGTGAAAGCATGATGTAATAAAATATTCTGATTTAATGTAACTACTCAAAATGATAGTGAATGTGAACTGTAAGTGAAAAAAAATAATTTTTTTTTTTTAATGGAAGGGAGCTTAGTCTAAAAATATGCTGAGGCCTTCGTCCCATGTCCCGGTAGAAAGGTAGGAAGTCTGAAGGAGGTAGAATGGGACCTGCTGAAACGAGGCGGGCTTTCACCAAAGGTGCCCAATGTCCCCAGGCACCAAGGCTGACAGGAGCTGGTTTGAGCAGGCCTCTGTGAGGAAGGAGAAAGGAAGATCAGTCAGAGAGAGAGAAGCACCTTCAAACACAGCCTTCCCCAGTGAGCACGGACAGGGAATGTTGGGAGAGCAGAAGCCAGACACAAAGGGGAAGGAACCCAGTAGATGTCTCAACAGAAGTCCTTAGTCCCATGTCCTGCTACTATCTTGCTCAAATCCTTTGTGCTCCTTACTTGCTTGACAAAATCTCACACATACACACACACACACACACAAAAAAAGCGCCTTTCTTTCTTTCTTTCTTTTTTTTTTTTTTTTTTTTTTTTTTTTGTAGAGACTAGAGACAGGAAACTATGTAAAAGGCTATTAAAATAGCCTCGTTAAGATATAATAAATTCCTAAAGTATAAAAAGACACCATTTCGAAGGCGAAATGACTGACCAGGTGATTCACAGGATCATGTATGCATCTCAACCATAATGTAAATATTACCTCAGAAAGCAATACAACTCATGTCAGCCCTGTTTAGTTAGCCTAAGGAGGAATGAGGAATGGTCTTTTTATCCCCCGCCCCCCCCCCCGCACTAGATATATAGAAAAAAAAAACAAAACATGCCAGGAGTGTGGCATTGGGGTGAAGATTTTCTTCTCCCTGAAATAGGGCTAGCATATCTTCCAAATTTTGTCTGTTATAGATGCAAGCTAAATATGAGGAGGACCGAGTAGGATAGAGTTTTATCATAGTGCGCATACAGTGCTGAATCAGATAAACTGGATCCGTATCCGAACTGCAAACATCCTTTAAACATATAGCCTAACTTACATTCATTCAGCCTTGTCCCCACTGAGGACTCTGCACCAGGACCACTTTTTAAAAGTAGTATATCTCTCTGCGAATTTCAGCACAGCCACGTGTGTGCACAGCTGTCTAATTGGAGGGAAAATTAAATACCAGAGACCAGAGCCTTGCAATACGTATACACAAGCCTACACTGTACGTTAATGGGTTTAATAAAACTCTAAAACTTAAGTCAAGGACTACTGTACGGTAGTTGTTTCTCAAAGTAGTGTGTGTTTCCTTAGAATTTTACGTGCTCTTTCATAAAAAAGTAAATAAGAGAATATCAGCATAATGTTTTCAAACCACAAATGTTTCCCTTCCTCTGCCCCCAATAATCTGGTGGAAGTCATTTAAGTAAAGTGCAGCCTTTAGGTTACTTAGTAGGAAAAGATTATTTTTTATTGTTTTCATGTTATGGTGGTAAAATTTGAGTCCTGGGTCCAACATTCTGTTACACTAATGAGGCCTGTTTTCCAAATTCAAAAGCAATTTTTCTCATTATTCTTGATTCTACTACATTTTGACCTTTTGAAAAACTTCTTTCTCTTGATCTTTAATAGTTCAGTTTTCTATCTCCCTTCTATGGTTGTTTTTCTCATCTCTATCCCTTCCAAAGGTGCTTCTCTCCTCCCTCTGCCTATCGTATCCTTTGATTTTCTTCCAATTTCAATACTATGGCCTTTCTGCTAAACATTTCCCAGCAGGTGAGGTTATTCTTTACCTCACTTCTGGGTAATTACATGTGTTATTGTTCTTTCCCAAAAGGATAGCACCTCATACTAATGTCTACTTATTTTTCAAATTTCAGTACATTGGGTCATTTTTCCTCATGGAGCTGGGTACCTCTCCCATGTGTTGTAGGGCAGCCTGTGCTTCCTTTTACCGTCGGCCTTATGTCATAGCATGTACTACTTACTGCAGGGGCTTTCAACGAAGGAGGCCCACAGTGTCATCACTATCACCTGGGAACTTGCTATAAATGCAAATTATGAAGCAGCAAGGTGATTGGACTGAATTAGAAACTCCAGGGTGTGGCTTCATGTATGCTGTATTTTCACAACCTCTCCGGGTGATTCTGATCCAGGCCAACTTTACAACAACCACTAGGATGTTGCATTTGCCTGTTTTCCCCTTGACTGTTCTACTATTTGGTGGCCTGTTTTAGAAATGATGGTGGCATCCTTTTCATGTGATGTCATTAGTATCCAGTGCAGAGACAACTTTTTTTACGAGCTCCGATGTCAGTCCTCTGGTTGCTCTCTATGTCATTTGTATGGAGAGCCAAGAGTCATTTCACAGTCAGCATCTGTGTTGGAAATTTGACATCTAGTACCCCTCAGCAATGCTATCCTCCAAAACAATTGCACGCCTCTGGTTCTACTCCCCTTACTGACAAAAAACAAACAAACAAAAACAAAAACTCTCCACCTCTCCATTAGTCATGGGAAAGCCTTAGTAACCATCTTGCTTTGAAGAATAACTTCATTTATTCTGAGTATACAATTAAAACATACCCACTATAGAAAATCTGAAAAATTCAGTTACACACACAAAATAATTAACACCTGCATGATATTTTTGGCCGTAATTAACCTGCTCTCATCCTCCGAAAGTCCCATCAACGCCTTTTGATTGCCTCCAACATTGCAGTACTGTCTCTTTTTAAGCTGCTTCTATCGCCTACTGCCGTAGCAATTAATTTTTCTAAACTGTGTTTCTGAGTAAAGTGCGAAAAAGTCAACATGACCCTCTGGTGCCCTCCAGTAAGACCCCAGTTTGGAATAAACAGTCGGGGACTCCTACAGGCTCTAAGAGGGACTGCTTCCCATTCTCACAGCATGTCCCCCATTTTCTAGCCTTTTGATTCTTGCCACTTCCCTGTCCCAGCATTTCTTCTCACCAGTGATTTTACTTAAATTTCCATTTCAATTTTTCTGAAATTGCAAACTTCTTACCTTCACTGCCACTCCTCCACTCCTTATCCCTTTCTCTACTCTGTTTTTAATCTCATTCTTATAGCCATCTAACAGACCATCTGTTTCATTTGTTCAACTTGATAATTGTGATATAAAGTTTATAAAGACAATGATTTTTGCCTGTATCTTGTTCCTTACCATATCCCTAAAAGTTGAAACGGTGCTAAGTACCTAAAAGACACTCAAAATGTATTTGAAATATTGACTGACACATGAATGAATAAATAATGACTATGTCCTGTGAAAATTCAAATCCTTAAGAAAGTCAGAACTCCTACTCTTTCTGCTGAAGGTGACCTCTGTTCTATAAAGTCTATGAAACCATTATTTATACTCATGACATGTATTATACTAAATACTGAATTAAGTTATAATTATTTGTTGCCCTTCCCGTTGAGGAATGAATATACAAATTCCTTAAAGGCAGATATCAATTATCTTTGTATCTCTTGTAGTTCTTAATGCACTGGCAGGTAATAATAAATAGCTCCAAAAGTAATTAAATTATTGTCAAAAGAAAAGAAAATTATTACCAAAAACAAAAAGGAAGTTACCTGTGAAGGGACATTTTACCATTTTTCCTGCTGCTAAAATCGAATGTACCTCTCTTATTAATAATAATTGTTCCTAAAGAAATTACTATGTGAACATTCCACATCTTTACAGGTTATTAATGCTGCACTTGCTTTGGCTGCAAGACCCAAAAGCCAAGTGGTAAAAAAAACCATGGACATGTACAAGAGCACATGGGAGAATCACATCCATGTCCTCACAGAAGCTGTAGATGACATTACAAGCATTGATGACTTCCTTGCCGTATCTGGTATGTTTTTGATTTTTTAATTTATACATTTGCTCTAGTCAGTTTTCTCAACCAGAAAAACACTGCATCTAATTAAATTTATGCACTATAATGAGGCATTGTTATTGCCAAATGATGATCTATTCTTAGTAATAAGTCTTATACCTTGTGATCCTAAAAGAAACATCTATTCTTGAGCAAAGCATAATTAAAAATAGTAGGTGGAAATCTTAGACATATCCTGTTTTTCCCCCAAATAAATCATCAGTTTCTCTTCTTTAAAATATTGATGTGTCTTGATTTCCCTGCATTTCTTTTCCAACCAAAATATCTCTGCACTCAGAAAAAAAAGTGTAATATATATATATTTGATATACAATGTGTACTTCAACTACCAGTGTACATGTTTGAATAATGGTGATGTAAAGGATCAAACAAACAAGTCTAAACATCTGACTGCATCAGAAACAGAGAGGCGTGAGAGTCCAGGCCAAGCCCGGTGATTCTCACCAGGATGATCCTCACCACAGGATTGTGAAATTAATCTCATAAAGCCATATCCTCAGAAGCATAACTCAGGTTTGATTGTACTGTTCCAACAGCAAAGAACTAAAGGCTTCTTTTTTTTTTCATTCTCATAAAAATTAAGCCTCTCCTTAAAATAAATTATACATTTTTTGAGAGAGTTCCTTGAGATGTGATAACATGCTTTTTTTTTAATCAAGCAAATTCTTATAAATTTCTGACATCATTTTATCTTTTTAAAGTTTTCCAATGCATTTTGTCTAACTTGTTGAACTCATTAATTTACCTGTGTGTGTGTGTGTGTGTGTGTGTGTGTGTATTCATTCTGAACATTAGTTCCAGAAACCTAGTGTGTTTTCAATATTCCATAATGAAAAGAAAATGTATGCTAATTATTTAAAAATTGGTTTTGTTTCTGTAGAGTGAAAAACTTTGCAAATAATAGAAAATGAATGGGAGAAAATATTAACATCCCTTGTTCCCACTATTCAGAAATAACAAGCACTGATAACTGATTTATGTCCATCCATCATATAAATTATTTGCCTTTTACACATAATATTTGGCCGAATTTTCCCACATTAGTATATAACATCAGAATCATTCATTTTATTCCATTTTGTTACCATTTAGATAAATTGTAATGTTATTATTATGAACATGCTATGTTAAGCATATAAGTTGCAATGTGAATCCATTCAACGTCTTATATTAGGGCTGTATTTGGCAATTGCGTCGTTCAATGCTAGGTTATTTTTTTTTCCAGGTAGTTCTTTTGGTTACAATGAAAGGAACCTGCTGATGCTACTTGATGTGAAGCCACTTTTATTGGTGTACTGATGGCACAACAGGGAGAGTCTCCTGAACACACAAGTACAGGGACCGTAATTGTCCAGGTCTCGCATAATTAGAGAGGCCGGGTGTAAGTTACTCTTTGGATCCGTAGAGTAGGAACCCATGGTTTTGCTTTTTCAGTGCTAGATTCACCTCACCTAGCAACCTTCACAGTGTGCTACTTTCCATAAACAGCTTTAGTGTTTCGGAATAGTTTGCCTGCATGTAACAGGAAAGTCATATGAAAGTTGCTTACAGAATAGAACCTTCCTTTCATGTGTATAGATGTTTAAGGTAGTTGATTCTAGACTTTACTAGCCCTAGAATAACAGGAAACTTGGATAAGAATAGTCCATGTGGAGGGGAGTGTCTTATCACTAACATTATTTAGAATTGTTTGTACAGAATAGTAATAAGAAATGGATTAATATGTAATTGTTTCATTATTGTTTTTAAATTCTCTACAGAAATGCACACTATTATTTTTTTTATACTGGATTGGACTGTTTCTACTTTGCTGGTTTTTGGATGCTTTAGTTGGTAGTGGTTTAAGGTTATTAATGACGTACGTAGGCATCATTGGATTCTATTGAGCTTGCCTCATGGTTGAATCTCAAAGCGTTTTACCTCAGAGCATTACACAATCTCCTAAAACAGAAAGAAAAGTGGATTGTTGGCTTGAGCCTGTCAAGAAGGAAATAGTTCCCAGATGCCTTCCATAAGACTTTCTCATACTTGTTATAGGTCAGAATTTGATTCGTCCTCTATCTTCTCCTGGATGAGCAAAATCAAATGTGATTCTCATGATGTACTTAGAGTCCTGATACATGGTTAACCCACATGACTGGTGATCAGAAAGAGTGGTATCCTAATTTGTAGCATTTGCTGATTTCTGTGGCATAAATACTCCTACGTTGGCAATTATCAAGCTACCAATGTGATGTCATTGAACTCTGAACTGGGGAAAAGTACATAAAAACAGCTCTTGTTGACCTGGTATAAACAGATTCTAGCATACCACTGGGCTTATCCCAGTCATAATTCAACCTTCCTGACTAGTCACTTACTATACAAACAACATCAAAAGTTTTATCTGCAGAAAAAAATGTCTGTTGGCTAAAGAACAAAATATGTTTGTCCCAAACATTGAGTGGCATCCATTGCTTTATCATATTTCTGTGCCTTCGTTAACTTACCTTGTACTTAGCGTGAGCTCCAGTGGTGTTTCTTGTTACATCACAACTCTTCAACATCTGTTCCTACAGAAAATGGCATCTTCTCTCAAAATCTTTCCAGTCAAATAAATAAGAAATAATATAGCTGAGTCCAAATATCTTTTTAGTTCTATGTCAAGATCCTTAGGACCAGGCTAGAAGTCCTAAGTTTAAGACCAGAGGCCAACCAATGGATGAGTTATCTTTTGTTAATTCAGCTAATTGTAGTTCAAATTCCTGTGATGGGGCTACCACAAGCTGGTAGCATTTGTGAAATGCAGATTTTCTTAGAAAAAGTTGCAGATGTGATCAGCACTGAATGACTTTTCTGGTATTACTTTATAATGATCTTTTATCACATGTTGTTTGTACTCACAGACATCTGGTTCTGCAATTTGCCAGGTAGAACAACAAACAAGTTAGTTCATAGAGCATCTAAATTGTGAATTACCTAGAAAAATATTATGTTTTCAAATTTTATAAACATTCTTTCTTTTTCATGGGCTTTCTCTCAGTAGATAGAAATGCTCCATTCTGTTTTTACATATAAGTAAAGAATAAGGGTCCCCAAAAGACTTCTACCTGAGTTAGTTATAAAAATTTGTGGATTCTCAGAACACCAGTTCTCCACATTAAAATGTCGACCAAAAATGACAGCTTAAAATTAGTGAGAAAATATTCTTAGACTTCATTATTTCATTGTTACTAGAAAAGGTAGAAATCACACTGATAAAATGTTTACCTAATAATGTTTTAGATTGTCCAATATGCTAGAGGCTCTTGAAATAAGGGTACTTTTGATACCAATTGTCTTTTATTTATCTATTTTAATTCCAAATATAGAAATATCATTGATGATTTTTAAAATTGTATATTTATATAATCACCAAATTTCTCATGATACACAATCAAAATGCCAATATTCAGAAGCCATTGGGGGATATTTTTGTTCTCTGCTATATGTAGAGAACTCCAAATATAAGTGCAATCAATTCTTTCTTGAAAATAATAAGGAATATAGCCACCTCACCAATTTATTAAACATTTTAAAGCTTTATATGTAAAATGATTATGAGAGAGTAAATCTATATCTACTTGCAAAAGCAAAGAGATTTTTGGCAAACTGTTCTATGACATTCAGTTGTGCAAGAGGCTTTTTATAGTTTCATGTTATTTATGCCACTGTTATTCCACCAGTAATTAGAAAAAAATCTTCAAATGGCATTGGTCCCCAAGCCTTGTGTCCCATCACTGAAGATGGAGCTTATCTCCACATTGTTCACTGTGCTTTTTTTTTTATCACTCTCTGAAAATGTATGTAACAAAACACCTGTCAGAAAAATCTCTAGTCTGAAGATTCTACAGACTCCATCAGAGTCTATGTTTTGTACAGGCAGAAGATATTATACATCTATGTGATGAGATTTAAGAAGCTCTGTCTTTTCAGCCTGCCCTGCAGCCTGAAGTCTCCACCATTAGTAATGCATTTGGAAATATACAAACATTTTATACCTCTGTTTAAGACACTCATTTGGAAGAAATAACATATTAACATATGCATCAGCTTTTTGGACCATTGAATTAATTGATTCATGGTGACCCAAATAATCTCAAATAACTAAATTTAGAAGAAATGAACTTTAATAGACAAGAGAATTATTTGGACCATAGGAACTATTGAACAATTGCTAAGAATTAATGATATGTGTGGGTTGGTAAATATTTGCCCTTTAAAAAAAACTTCATTCCTTCCTTCATTGATTAAAAGGTGTTGCATAATTTTAAGTGCTGAACACTATGACTGGTATTGGCGATTTAATGATGAGTAAAAGTTGCTAGAAGAGATAACTTGCAAGAGAACTGTGAGAATGGGGATTATTGGAGATAGGGGATCACAGGATGACTAGAGAAAGCCACTGGCATAGTTTGGAATTTTCTAAAGGAGAGATTGCCCATTTATTGATTAAAATTAGTATGACTCTTCCCTTATTGCAAAGGGTGTTTTCACTTTAAAGATATCATCATATTGATTCTCGGTAAATTATAATATTGGAGGATGCTTGAGGATCTTTATTCCTTGTCCTAAATTTCTCTTTATGTCCACTTTCCTCTATATCCATTGCTATTATTCCAGGTCAATCCATTATCTCTTACTTGAATTGCCATATAATCTTTCTAATTGAACCTCCTGCTTCCAGAATTTTTCTTGAAGGCTTTCAATAGGTAATTTGCAAGATTAATTTTGGGGGTTTATGTATTATGCTTTCATTAACTGTTTTTAGCCTGGAATTAATATTTTTTTAAATCTTAAAATTATGACAAATAACTTCAATCATTAATTTTCACAATGTTCTATGACCTTGACTTAGTGACACAAAGATAACTGTATTGTCATCAAAAATCCACCAACCAAAGCCTCTGTGTTCATGACATTGCAGTGAACATGAT